TATTGAGCTCCAGTTGTGTGCATAGACTTTGATAGGCTTTGATAGGCTGTGGAAAGATTTAAAAAAATAAATATGATCCCTGCCCTTGAGGAGTTTTCAGTTGAGTTAGGGAAAGTGATTTAAACGCCATGTAGTCCAGGAGTCAGCAAACTTTTCTATAAAAGTTCAGGTAGTAAATCTTTTAGGCTTTGCAGGCTGGACAGTCTCTGTCACATACTCTGCTGCCCTGTTGTAGCACAAAAGCAGCCATAGACAATAGGTGAATGAGAGTGGTTGTGCTCCATTTATGGAACTCTGAAACTTGAATTTCATATAATTTTCATGTGTCACAAAGTATTATTTAAAAAATTTTTTTTTCAACCATTTAAAAAATGTTGAAGCCTTTGTTAGCTAGCTGCCGTACAGAAACATGCTGAAGGCTGGATTTGGCCTGCAGGCTGTAGTTTGCGACCTCTAATCTAGTCCGACCCTCTTCTCAGTGCATAAGAAGCGATCAAAGTACCACATAAAGTAGTAGTGCTAAGTGAATGATCCAGTTCCAGACAGTATGTGATCAGAGAAAAAGAAGAAGCCCTCCTTGACCTGTGGTCATTAGTTAAAGCTTAATAGGGGTGCACTAGGACAGGCCTTAACCAATGAGTGGGATTTGGTTCTATGGAAAAGGTAGGGTAGCCTTTTGGACAAGGGATGCAGTGTGCCCAGGCATGAAAGTGGGGAGGAACAAAGTAATGTTCAGGTGACGATGAAGCAGAGAATTCATGGGAACAAAGGTTGAAGCTATAGGCAAGGACTAGATGGTGGAAGCTTTAAATGCCAAACCAAGAAGTTTGGCCGTTATTTCTCAGAACTGATTATATGTACTTTATCTGTGAATCTGTCTCTTAACAGTATGTGCGTTTGTGCATATACGTCTTCATGTGTCTCATTGCATGTATTTTATTGGTACATGTGTGGATTTGTATGTTTGTGTGGCCTGTGTCCCTACAAGCAGCTTTCCTGAGTTCCCCAGATGCAGGGCAGAAGCATGAGCTGCCCTAAAGGTCATCACCCCCCGCTCATGTGAACCCTCCCTCCGCTGAAGCCTCGAGTTTAACGACCCTCCCATGGAGATTTATTTCATGTCTCTGATAGAATGGAGAAGGGTTACACAAGCAGAGGGATAAGGTTCAGATTGAAAGAGGCCATGAGTATAGAAAAGAAGGAATGAGTAAGGAAAGATAATAAGAAGGAAGAATATTAGGATTTGGTGCCTGTTTTGATTCTGAGAGTAAGGGAAAGGATAAATTTAATAATAACAGGTTTAACCTAGATAGCTGGGAGAATGATGTTTCCATTGGCATTTTATGGATATAAAAGTATGTCTCATGGATTCCTTTGGGAGAGATAAGCCCTAAAGACAAAAACACGAAGGTGTTCCCATGTCATTTGTACATATCTGTGTATATATGGCAGTGATTTTGTGTTATTCTTCCCATTTGATAGGCTATAGTCTGGGGGTCATGGCCTGAAGACACAGGATCAAGAGATGCTTAGAAGGCTGAGAGCCCAAGAGGCACGGGAAGAGCCATAGAAAGTCCCTAACCATTCCTGAGCCTGACTCCATTAACTTGGCCAAGTTCTGTTGCCCTTTATAACCTCAAACTCCAGTCCCGACAATAGCCCAATTTCATAACAGCCAAACCTAATCTTAACCATAACCCAACCAACCCTTGCTTTTCTGCTTTCACTTTGCTGGTTCTCAGTCAGTGCCCCAAACCTCATCTGATTCCTACCTCTGTAACAACCTTCCCTTCATTAAAAGGGAAGAATCCTTGAAGCTAACTCAACTCCCTCCATCCTTTCTCATTTCTGTTTAGTCAACTGCCCTTCTCCCTGACCTTAGCTTATTCTCCAGATAGGCTGCAGTTGGGGTGGGAGGGGTCAGAGAGGGATTAGCCAGGATTTTTTCAGTCTTGGACTTGATTACTGTGACATTTCAGCTTGTCACTCTGCCGGGGTGTGGCTCTCCTCTGGCGGAATTCCAAAGCCCAGACTCAGTATAGTGAGAGAATCTGACTGAGGTGGCTATAGCCAGTCTAACAGAGCCATTTCCTGAGGTAGTAGCACCCTGATCTAGCTGTGCATTAACTGACCATTCTCTTGAATTCTAGAGTGGATCATGACCCATGAAGAGCACCATGCAGCCAAAACTCTGGGGATCGGCAAAGCCATTGCCGTGTTAACCTCTGGTGGAGATGCCCAAGGTAAGGAAGAGGGCTCTGTTTCGGAAGAAGGCAAAAAGCATGGCTGGTTGGCCCCCTGGGCGTTTCTTGATTCCCTTAGCCTGTAGAACGGAACTGTCCTCCTGTAGGTTCCCACTAGAATCCTGGACTTTCCTTAAGAACTCCATCAGGTCTAAGTACTTAAGGCATTTGGATTCTACTTCTCCAAATGTTTATAGAACTATTTTCCAAGTTTTTGTGAAGATTTGAGGCCCTTTGATCCTTCAGTACTAAAAGAATGCCGTTTTCTCAGCATTGGAAAGAAAGAGACAAAAGAAATAAAATCATTGAGAGGCAGTAGAGTAGATTCATTTCGAGTACTTTGGAAGTGGTGGGAAAGGGAAGAGACCTGGAATTGGTATTTGATAGGCCACAGCTAGAGCTTCAGGTACTAATTCTGATGTGTGGAGAGTTCCTACAGTGACCGGGACCAGGCATCTTAGTCTTATAGCACATGTCCTACCAGGCGCAGTTCTGGTTTGCTCCCTGTTTTCCCTGGCCTTCCATGCCCATCCATTCCTTTAGCCCTTGAACAGCAGCAGTTAATCAGTACAGGTCCATTGCAGGGAGAAGGACAGAAAGCAAAGCCAGAGAGGGAACCTTCCCTGGGTTGAGTCCAAGAAATCTGTGGGTCAGGAAAATCAGGTGTATAGGAAAAATGAAGTGGGATGTAAAGGATGTGTGATTCTGCCCACCCACCCCAGTTTCTTTGTATAGTCTAATTTATATTGTGATTAATAGGGGGTGGAATTTCTGTGGAAGGTATATACCAGGACATGGAGACAGTGATGAGAGAAACAAAGAGATTTCAGCTCGTCTACCCCCTCCTCTGTCCCACCCTCCCTAGGCTATCCTAGACATTGTGCTAACCACCTGCTGTATATAGAGCCTTGTCTTGTATGTTGTAAGGAAGTTGTTATTCCTTTGGGAATTTGATAAGGAAAGATACCATATATTACTAGAATTCTTAAGGTACATAAATAAAGATAATGACAGTACATGGTGTAACATGGACGAACCTTGAAAACATTGCGCTAAGTAAAAGAAGGCATTCACAAAAGACCACATACTGTGTGATTCTGTTTATACAAAATGTCCACCATAGGCACATCTCTAGAGACAGAAAGTAGGTTAATGGTCACCTTGGGCTGGGGAATGACTGCTAATGGATTTGGGTGTTTTTATGGGGAGATGAAAATGTTCTAAAATTAGTTTGTGATGATAGTTTCACAACCTTGTGAGTTTACTAAAAACACTGAATTGTACACTTTAAATGAGTGAATTATATGATATGTAAATTATATCTCCATAAAGCTGTTAAAAACTAATCAAATGTGCATTAACCAAGTAGAAACCACTTGTATAACGAAATGGTAAGCCTTGGTTGGATTAATCAGGGAAAATGTCACAGAAAAGATAGGTTTCAAGAAACTGAGGTAAAGTGCTTAGAACAGTGCCTGGGACATAGTAAGTGCTCAATAAATATATTACTAATTAATAAATGAATTATTGAGCACCTATTGTATGCCAAGCAGGATGTTAGGTACTAGGGATACATCAATGAGAAAGTCAGACATAGTCCCTGATCTTATGATATTTCTTATTAGTACAGTAAAACCTGTGAAAGCTGGAACCTGTGTAAGGTGGGAATCTGTCAGAGAAGGAAAACTCAGATATTTTTCACCAACAGCAGTAGAAAAGTGGTACCCTATCAAAGGTGGAAAACTTGTGCGATCTGGAAAAACAGGACAGTCTCATCGAGTTCCGGCTCTCACAGGTTTCACTGTGTATTAGGAGTGCTAGACTTTACATCTATTTTAAAACTAATTTTTATTTCATTATAATTGTGATTGATGTTGTGAATAGGAGAATACTAGAATGAAGACACTGAGGAAGAAAGGCACAGAGGCCTGAGATTGGGAATAGTGAGCAGATTAGGAATGCAGGACCTTCGTTGAGGCTGTAGAGACAGCTGACCTGCTTCTATCGCTTCTCTCTTCTCTCCTGGAAAGGGTCCCATGCCAGTACTGAGTTCCTCAGCACAAACTCTATGAGTGTTGATCTTAAAACCTTGTAAGATTGCCAGTGGAATTGGACTGTCACATTAGGGGAAGAGTGAGTCTGCTAAAAATCCAAGTGAGGCACACAGAGTTAAGAAATGATGAGGGAAAGAGCACTTGGAGAGAGAAAGAGAAAAAATATAAAAGCCTATGATTTAACTTGGGTCTAAGAGCAGCAGAGCCCTTCCAACTTCTGGTCCTGTCAGTGAGACCTTCTTGTTCTGGGGATGGCCATCATCTGCCTGCTCAGGGGAAGGGATCATCTTTCATGGATGCAGGGGCTCTCGATATGCTGATTTCTGGAGGCCCAGCTGGGTCAAGGCCTGTGGGGTTCTGTGACAGGCACCCTGTACTCCGGGAAATATTGCACCTGTGAATCCACATAACATCATCGGAGCATTTCAATGGGGACTGAGAGTGGTGGAGAATAAAATTCTAGGGAAGCAAGGAGGCAAAACGAAAAACGCAAAATAGAGCTAAGAGGTTCCAGCTGAAGGAGTAGCCCAAATATGGCCTGACCAGAAATAAGTTTGATGGCTCTAGTTCTCCCAGGAAAAGAGCACAGAGATGTTTGTTTCCTGGAGGATATGGGCAACATGGGAAAGTGAGAATGGGCTCTGTAAAAATCCATGGAGGCCACAGCTCTGTCATTCCCTGAGTTCAGCAAAGCTACTAAACTCTTGAAGTGGAAGAACAGCCAGGATTCAGGCATCTTGGGCTTGGAAGCTAAGGACTCTGGGATGCTGTGCTAATCACATATCAAATCTAATTCCCTTTCCAGCCCAGGAATGACTTTAGCCCCCTAAACCATGCCACATTTAGCCTTCTGAATTCAGCATTTTCTGCTTCTGGAAAGGACTTCCATCATCTGGTCTAGCCTCTGTTTCCAGAGGGCAGTCCATTCCAAGTGCATGTTTGTCCTATATTTAAAGGTTTATAGGAACAGAGATTCTACTACTTGCCTGGGTTGCCTAGTCTAGGGTTTATAATTTTTAATTGCATATTTATCAGAAAGTGCTATTCACAACTAATATTTATTCCTCATGTTGGAATTACAGTATATATTTTTTCTTATTCTAAATTCAGTTAAGGTAAAAATAAACTTTTTAGCATCTGCTCTCAAAAAGATAGTGACTAAGTCATGTATTACTTTTTTCTATCTAGTCTTATAGAGACCCATCACCCATAGTTCTTCTCCCAAAAGTCTCTTCCCGACAGGCTGTAATTGGAGACTGCACATGACATGTTTATGATATTCTCCAGGGCCCCTCCTGGCTGTACCCAGAATACCCCCAGGATGGTGCCTGTAATCTTATCCTTCGTCTTGCTTCTAATAAGTTAGACAGCTGCTCATACAGGTTTATTTAGGGCAACATGGAACAGCCAATGTTCCATGGCTTAGGGCCAGACTAGGTCAGTGAAGTTAGATAGGAGAGCACAGAGAATTACTGGGACTCCCTAGCATAAGCTATCTGTACATCCCAGTCTGTGGTTTTGGGGGACCTGGGGACTTGAGACACAGCTACAGGGCACTAAGGGAGTACTGAAACTTGATTTCTAATAAAACACTCAGACATCCAGTTTAGAGGCAGGAAAGTGACCTCTAGCAGGGTTGAGGTAAGAAGGTAGAGGAGGGAAGCCAATCTTTTCTTGTGGGATTTTTCTTCTGTCAAACAGATTTGGATATTTCCTGTCCACCATCTATTGTTTGCTTTACACTGAAAACCTTTTAAGTCATTTGTTTCTCTTAAATTGTTTTTTCACCCACAATTAGTCAGCTTGGGAGGGAAACAGTTGTCCAAGCAATACATCTCAGAAAAATGTTTTTTTCTTATTTCCTAAGATTATAAATTCATACTCCAAAACTCCAGGTACCCATTAGAGAATCCCATTGGCCTTGTGACAGGTTAGAAAACAAATGAACAGTAGTTTCGTATCTGTTCTGATGTTATTGAATTGACTTTATCCGTATCTTTCCTAAAGCACTGATGACTCTGCATCGACTCTGACCTTGATCTATTCACACATGAAGGCTTTTCCTAAAGCTTCGGAGAAGCCTCCTCCCTTTACAGATTTTTTGGTTTTGATTCCTTCAACTTGAGGATGTGAACTTAGACTTCTTAACTTCATGGGGCTTTGCCTCACTAATGTCATAAGTAAGCTTTGACATCAGGGCTCACCAATGACCTTTTGTTGACAAGCCCAATTGTCTAGACCTTATCATAGATCAATTATTAGAAGTATTAGACACCGTTCCCATTTTTTGAAATTGTTCCCTTTTGACTTCTAAGACACTGCTAAGTGGTTCTCCTTTTGTTTTTCTTGCTGTTTTTTATTAGTTTCTTTCATGGAACTCTTCTTCCTCTGCCCATCTCTTCAATGTTAGTTTTCTTTAGGATTCTGTTCCTTGCCTGTTGCCCTTCTAATTCTACATATTCTCTCAAGACAATCTCTTCCAAGTCCGCATGTATATCCCACAAGAACTTCAAACTAAACATATCCAAATATGAACATGTCATCCTCACCCTTGCCTTCCCAAACCCAAACCTATCTCTGTGCAGTTAATGACGCCACAGTGTTACCCTCTGCCTAAGTCAGTCATGGGGGGGATTTCCTTCTTCCATTCCAAAACTTGAAATTTAATCATCACAGTGATGATTAGATGTAAGTCCTGTTGCTTCTCTCTCCTAAGCGTCTACTGTCCAGTTTTCTCTGTTTTATACCAAATGCTACTCTTCCAGTCCAGGCCCTCATCATTTCTTGTCTGCACTTCCATATAGCATCCTATTCCTGGTGTCACCTCTCTCAGCTTGTCCTCCATGCTGCTGCCAGAGTGAGATTTCTGATGTGTAGATCTCATCATGTGCCTCCACTCTCAAATATTCTCTATTATCTACTTTTTTTTTCTAAGTCATGTGCCCCTTTAAGAATCAAATGAAAACTGTAGATCTCCCAAGAGAAATTCTCATGCCCACACAACTTTTCATGCAGTTTCACAGGTTCATGAATTCCCTAAAACCTATCATTCATGGATCCCCAATCGAACCCTGGTTTACAGAATAAAAGGCAAACTTCTTCACATGGCATCCTAGGCCCTTTATCATGTGGTGCCTGCCCACCTATCTAGCCTCATCTCTCACCACTTCATATCTCACACTTTGTTCTCTATAATATTAAACTATTGTTAGGTGCCATCAAGTCATTTCCAACTCATAGCAACCCTATGTACAACAGAATGAAACTCTGCCTGGTCCTGTGCCATCCTCTCAATAGTTGTTATGCTTGAGCCCATTGTTGTAGCCACTGTGTCAGTCAGTCTCATTGAGGGTCTTCCTCTCTTTCGCTGGCCCTCTACTTTACCAGGCATGATGTCCTTCTACAGGGACTGGTCCCTCCTGATAACCCATATCCAAAGTACACAAGGTGAAATCTCACCATCCGCTTTTCTAAGGAGCATTCTGGCTGTACTTCTTCCAAGACAGATCTGTTTGTTCTTCTTACAGTCCATGTTATAGTCAATATTCTTCGCCAACACCATAATTCAAAGGCATCAGTTCTTCTTTGGTCATCCTTATTCATTGTCCAGCTTTCGCATACACATGAGGTGGTGAAAATACCATGGCTTGGGTCAGGCGCACCTTAGCCCTTAAAGTGACATCTTTGCTTTTTAACTCTTTAAAGAGGTCTTTTACAGCAGATTTTCCCAGTGCAATATGTTGTTTGATTTCTTGACTGCTGCTTCCATGGGCGTTAATTGTGGATCCAAGTAAAATGAAATCCTCGACAACTTCAATCTTTTCTGCATTTATCATAACGTTGCCTATTGGTCCAGTTGTAAGGATTTTTTTTTTTTCTTTATGTTAAGGTGTAATGTATATTGAAGGCTGTGGTCTTTGATATTCATCAGTAAGTGCTTGAAGTCTGCTTCACTTTCAGCAACCAAGGTTGTATCATCTGCATATCGCAGGTTGTTAATGAATCTTCCTCCAATCCTGGTGCCTTTCTTCTTCATATAATCCAGTTTCTCAGATTATTTGCTCAGCATATAGATTGAATAAGTATGGTGAAAAGATGCAACCCCAACACACACCCTTCCTGATTTTAAACCATGCAGTATCCCCTTGTTCTGTTCGGACGGCTGCCTCTTGGTCTATGTACAGGTTCCTCATGAGCACAATTAAGTGTTCTGGAATTCCCATTCTTTATAATGTTATCCATAATTTGTCACGATCCACACAGTCAAATGCCTTTGCATGGCCAGTAAAACACAGGTAAACATCTTTCTGGTATTCTCTGCTTTCAGCCAAGATCCATCTGACATCAGCAATGATATCCCTTGTTCCACATCCTCTTCTGAATCCAGCTTGAGTTTCTGGCAGTTCTCTGTCAACGTACTGCTGCAGCCGTTTTTGAAGATCTTCAGCAAAATTTTACTTGCATGTGATATTGATGATACTGTTCGATAATTTCTGCGTTCTGTTGGATCACCTTTCTTTGGAATGGGCATAAATATAGGTCTCTGCCAGTCGGTTGGCCAGGTAGTTGTCTTCCAGACTTCTTGGCATAGACGAGTGAGTGCTTCCAGCGTTGCATCCATTTATTGAAAAGTCTCAATTAGCATTCCGTCAGTTCCTGGAGGCTTGTTTTTTGCCAGTTTTAGATTGAAACAAAAATATGTACTGGAGTATCTGAGGGAGGGTGGTTAAAATGGTTCACAACAAGTTGATCCATCATGGCCCCAAGATTCTTTAAGCATCACCATGAGCCCCTTTGCACATTACAAGGTAGGACAGGGTCACCGAGATCAAGATCCATGACTGTGTTCCACCAGTGAAGCCGTGCTTAGCACAGTATCAGTGGCATTATTTCTAATATGGAGGTGTTTACAGCTCCCACTATGTGCTTGTATTATGGCAGGTTAGCTCCTCCACGGAGCTCCTGGGAGAGACAGTTCCTGTTATTGAGCAACTACTAGGAGAGGGCCACTACTCGTGTGAAAAAGGGAAAAGGCTCTCCTCTCTATTTTAGTGCTAGTTTTTTCTCCCAGTGGAAGCAGAGAGAGACTGATACATAGCCGTAATTTTTAAGTTCCTTGTAAATGTTTCATATACAGGAAGGAAGTGTTTGTTGATTAATTGAGTGAATGCCAAGAGAAGGCAGTAAAAGAATAGAGTCCCTACTGATTCTGCTTGCACACTTGTTAACAAATGCTTCTGGCAGTGTGGGGGCTAGAGAATCACAACAGTGTGGCACAGATTGGAATGTACACCAACTCAAATGACACAAAAAAACTGTGCGTGTGTGTGTGGATTAGAAGAATCTACCAGCCAGTTGATGGACGTACTTATGAACAGGTTCTGACTGGTTAGGTTACTGAGCTGCAGAGAATCATGTCTTTGTCCCAAAAAGGATACCAAAGCTGGATATCTAGATTCAGTTTAGAAGGGAGGGAAAAAACATTGGGATTTTTGCAGGTCAGGAGTGTTGACTTTGGCATTTTAGGACTTGGATTCAAATCTCAGCTTTCTATGAGTACTAGCTTTGTGCCCTTGATTTCCTTAAGCTTCAGTTTCCAAATCTGTAAAATGGAGGCCATTCCAGGGTTGTGGATAGGAATGAATGAGTTGATATTTGACAAGCACTTAACATAGTGTCTAACCCCACAATAAGCATTCAAAGAAATGCTTGCTTGTTGCTGGTGTTATTATTATTCCCCAGATTGCCCTGGCAAGGAAAGGTCTTAGCAAAGGCAGAGTTTCTTGAGGGGAAGGGAAAGGGGTATCTTGAACTCCATTAACATTGAAGGCAGTAATTGGGGGTGGTGAGGCCAGAAGACTTGGGTGAGAGGAGTATTCTAGATTCAGAGAAAAGCCTAAGAAAAGTACCGTCTTGTATCTTTAGATAGATGTCAGTTATGTGGATTCCAGGTCTGCTTTTCTTAGGGGTCACTTCTCCCTCTCTTCTTTCTTTCTTCCTCTTTGCAGGTATGAATGCTGCTGTCAGGGCTGTGGTTCGAGTTGGTATCTTTACCGGTGCCCGTGTCTTCTTTGTCCATGAGGTTGGTTCTCTATGTTTTTCTCCATCATTCTTCCTCTGTTTTCTTCTTAATCTCCCCCTTCTCCACTTTCTCTTCCCTTACTCATCTCCCAGTTACGATGCTATGTCTGTTTTGTCTTGGCTTCCTATCTCCATTCCTCCCCACTCTTGGTTCCAATAATGATGCTGGGATCCAGAAATCTGCAAACTGAGTCCTCACATTGTTCAGTTTAAAGGAAAAAATAACTCTCTGTCTTTTCTCCACCTCCCCCAGAACAGAGAGAGAAACTGAAATGAGTTGGTATTTTATAGCAAATTAGTATATCCAGGGATAGAGCCCAAGGAGAGAAGAGTCTCATAATATTTCTGTAGTTTGCCTACCTTTCCGAGGTTCTAACCCTTCTTTGCTCTTGTCTCTCACTTCCCTCTCACGCTTCTCCCACTCTTTTGTAAGGCCTATCTGCCTTTCTTCTGTCAAGTTTTATAGTCTCAAATTAAGTCACATTTCTCTCCCTCCCTCTCTTCTTCCCTCCAATATACCCTTCTCTCTTTCCTCAGTTGTTCTCAAGACCATCTGTTATCTAGTTCCTCTGGAAATCGATTGGGGGAAATGGGATGAGCCATAAATAAAAGTAATTAAGATTAAATATTAGGAAGGATATCCTTATGCTTCAAGAATAGGAGAAACTAGAACAGAGTATTGAAAAAGTTGGCATCTCCTTCCTTGTACATTGTTAAATATGATGGTCTCAGGAGTGTCCAGAATCAGTAACGGGAGGAAGTGACTTGATTCTCAGAGAACCTTTTCCCAGGGATCCTATCTTAATCTGGGAGTTTAGGGGGAAACCTAGCAGAGGCTGAACCGGTATAATATGCCCTACAGGGTTATCAAGGCCTGGTGGATGGTGGAGAGCACATCAGGGAAGCCACCTGGGAGAGTGTTTCAATGATGCTTCAGCTGGTATGTTCCAGAGGACTCCTGTCCCATAACTGTCGTGTCCTTGTTTTACCCCACTTTAGTTTGGGCTCATGGTCTCCCAAATTCCCTGTCATGTGGTTTGATGTGAAGGGATTTAGTGACAAACTAGAGGCTGTGTTTGCCCTTTACTCTTTGCATTTGACAACATCACCCTGGTTTCCTTGGGGTTGGGGACAGTGGTCATGTGATAGTGTCCAAAATGGTTTGCTCTTTATAGAAAGGTCATAGGCAAGACTTTGGGAACTAGCACAAGACTTTGGGTAAGCAGGTCTTATTCTGGGGTCACGGGGAACGTCTGGCCCTGAAAATATCCCTACCAGAGGACTGGAGCCAGAGCCAGTTCTCATGTGATGGAGATGAGGTGACTTGAAACCAGACCATTTAGGGGCAGGCGCAGCCAAGGCAGTCCTTCAGAGTTTCAAAAAAAAAAAATCCTAGAAACTGCTACTTTCCTGAACTTGTTCCAGACTTCGTATATATAGATGGATACAGATATTTAGATTTATATCTACTGTGGGTTAGCCCAACAGAAATATACCCATTTGCTGATTTACTGAAACATCTACCAATTACATATGTATCCCCATTCTTCACCTCAGTCCCCCAAAGATCCATGGGAGGAAATGTAATGTCCAGCTCTGTTATGCCTGGTGAAGGCTGTACACAGGCTCAGGTGCCTGCCATAAAGTGTTCTGAGAATAAGCGAGAATTAGCCACCAATGCCCCAGAGTTATAGGTGCCCAGGAGCTTGTGTGATTTGTGCAGACCCCAAATATACTGTCTCTTACGGGTATCTGTAAGCCCCTGGGAATTCAAGGCTTTCTGTACCCAGAGCTATTTTTCCTAGGAATACCTAGACATTGTAGCTTCTTCCACTAAGACCACAGACCCCAAGGAGGAAAGAGGGAGAAAGATTGGCAGTGCTTGGTTATAGCTTGTGAAAACACAGTGTGTTAGAAAGGAAAAAAATAATACCAAGCACATTGGAGTGAACTCTTAATAATAGTTTGGACACAATCCATAATGCCAGGCCACTAGGGAGACTTTCCAAAGACTCAAGTCGCTGCTACTTCTTACGCTTGTGAGATGATATGAAAAATGGAGATTATTCCTGAAGCCAACAGATATGTGTGTATTCCCTTTTTCTGTTTGAAGATAATCACTGATGACAAAGCCTTTAAAGAAATGATTTGGATCTTAGCAGTCTCCTAAGAGGTGTAGCAGGATATGGGAATGACCCTCTGATGTCTCTGCTGACATCATTTCCCTTTACTTTGCAAGGGACAAGTGACTTACAGATATCAGGGAACTTTCTAGGCAGCCACATGGTTATGTCAGCCCATCACAGCGTTGGGATAGAGGAAATCTTAGCATGTTGAGCCTAAATATGGCTGTGTCATCTGAGGAGCTGACTTCTGCCTCTTTCCCAAAGGGAGGCACAGTGATTGGAAGTGCCCGATGCAAAGACTTTCGGGAGCGAGAGGGACGACTCCGAGCTGCCCACAACCTGGTGAAGCTTGGGATCACCAACCTGTGTGTCATTGGGGGTGATGGCAGCCTCACTGGGGCTGACACTTTCCGTTCTGAGTGGAGCGACTTGTTGAGTGATCTCCAGAAAACAGGTGAGACATTGTTTGAGTCAGTGTTGCTCATTTGTGCATGCATTTGTGTGCACACTCGTACACACATGCACATGCGCACACACACCCTTTACCTCCCCTTGGAGCAAGACATTACCCGATAAAACCCGTTGCCATCAAGTTGATTCCGACTCATAGTGACCCTATGGGACAGAGTAGAATTGCTCCATAGGGTTTCCCAGGCTGTAATCTTTATGGAAGCAGACTGCCACATCTTTCTCCCACAGAGCAGCTGGTGGGTTCGAACCTGTGACCTTTCCATTAGCAGCTGAGTGCTTAACCACTGTGCCACCAGGGTTCCTTATGAGTAAGACATTACCCAGATACAGATAGGCAGTCTTTGTCCTCCCTTGTGCCATTGCTTGTATTTCCCATTGGCTACGGTTTCTTCTCTCTCTAGTAATCTGCTCTGTAGGCACACCGGATCCTAAACCAATGGCTCCTGGTTTGCTTTCCATTATCAGGTAAGATCACAGAAGAGGAGGCTAAGAAGTCCAGCTACCTGAACATCGTGGGTCTTGTTGGCTCTATTGACAATGACTTCTGTGGCACTGACATGACCATTGGCACTGACTCTGCCCTGCACCGGATCATGGAGATCGTAGATGCCATCACTACCACTGCTCAGAGGTAAAGGGGCATGGGGGAGGCAGCAGAGGAGGATGGGAGCTGGGGCTGTCTAAAGTATTGGGGACTAGAGAAGATTAGTGTTTGAGCCATGGTGACTGTAATGACCATGACCATTTTTCTGGGACTAGAACACGTTTTAGCTAGTAATTATCCTGAGAGCACTGAAATTTCTCTGCCCCCTAAATGCTATAAGAATTTTTGTCTCTTGTCACTGGTAAGTTGACTATTAGAATAGTTCTGAGGTCTTTAATACCTGTGGGAACCCTAAATGATCAGTGTCCACACTGAGACAAATCCATGGAGCCCAGATTCTGAGCCACCATTTGCAACACATATCTTAGAGATTGTAGATACCATCACTACTTCTCAGAGGTAGGGGGACTTAGGGGTGGCAGTGTAGGAGGATGGGAGGAGGACAGGATAACAATTTACCCTACGGTGATCCTAGAGGATTCCAGTTTAGTCTGGTCCTCTCTTCTTCACTTCTTTTCCCTTTTTCCCCTTCCCTGACTCATCCCTCCCTGGAATAGCCTCCACATGGCTATGTTTTCCCAGGCTAAAGTGTCTCCCCTAGGTCCTTCTGGTCCCTCAGGAAACCTGCTGAAAAGTCTAGCAGCATAAATGCATCTCTGAGACAGTTAGTTGGCCTAGATGTGCTTGATCCTGGCCGCAGGAACGCTTGCACTGTGTGAGTCCTGTGTCTGTCTTTTGTAGCCACCAGCGGACGTTTGTGTTAGAAGTGATGGGCCGGCACTGTGGGTAAGAGCCCCATCTTGACTCACTTATTGCATGGGCCCAGCCTCCTCCTGTTTCCCACAGAGTCCAGAGAGGTCTGTCAGTGGTAGCCAATCTGTAGGCATACCTGTTCCTCTTGTGCTGTCCCATTCCTCTGTCCCCACTCTGCCTGCCTTGTATATGCACACGTGCATGTCTGTGCATGCACAAAAGAACAGTAGTGTTCTGAGACTGGAAGCCACTGTGGCAGGTGAGGATGAATAAAGGGGCTCTTCAGGGCTGGAATCTCACTGAAAGGCCCTAGTGCTCTCACCTTCATCCCAAGAATGAAATGGAGGATCTCAGACCTCTGGGGGCTAGGGAACTTGTTGGATCTGGGTGAGGCTATTTGTGGAGTGTAGCCCCTAGCATGATGCTTCTGGCTCTCATCTCAGATACCTGGCCCTTGTCACCTCTCTCTCGTGTGGAGCCGACTGGGTTTTTATTCCTGAATGTCCACCGGATGATGACTGGGAAGAACACCTTTGCCGCCGTCTCAGCGAGGTACTGACATTTTATTTTGTCCTTATCCATCAGTTTTATTCCTTTGACCATTTTTCCCTTTGTTCTTGACCAGACAAGGACCCGTGGTTCTCGTCTTAACATCATCATTGTGGCTGAGGGTGCGATTGACAGGAATGGGCAACCAATCACCTCAGAAAACATCAAGAATGTTAGTATGAATGAAACCAGAGAGTCTTCAGACACTGTACCCACCCTGGGCCCATTCACTAGTGATTTCTGAGTCTCCTGCTGTTGCATTTCCCCCAGTCCCTCTGCACATCTCTCCCAGGCTCCCCATCCCCTCGATTGCTTCCACTCAGAAATCATTAGAAGGCAAGAGGCTAAGCATCCATGGTTTATCTACATCCCTGCTTATTTTCACCCCTTGACTCTGTCTTTCCCTCTCTTGGTCCCATCAGCTAGTGGTAAAGCGTCTGGGATATGACACCCGGGTGACTGTTTTGGGGCACGTGCAGCGGGGTGGGACACCATCGGCCTTCGACCGGATCCTGGTAAGTCATGGAGCCCTGTGGCCCTCCCGCCTTAGACCCCTCAGCTTTACTGTCCTTCCCCGGCAGGATTGCACTTCCCTAGCACAGGGGCTTAAACCACTGGTCATGCCACCCCTCCACCAGCCTCTGGACTGCGGTGGCTCTTGACCCGTTCCCATACACTCGGGAGTCCTCTTCAGTCACAAAATATGATGGGAAACTATATTTTCCCCTAATAATGAAGTCTGATATCTTAGACCTCTGAACATCCATGAAATTATTAAGCTGTAGCCTCAGACACTCAAGTTTGAACTCCCTTATCCTGTTTTTTGGTTTGCCAAAAAACCAAACCCGTTGTTGTCCAGTCGATTCCAACTCATAGCAACCCTATAGGACAGAGTAGAACTGCCCCATGGGGTTTCCAAGGAGTGGCTGGGGGATTCAAACTGCCATCCTTTTGGTTAGCAGCTGTAGCTCTTAACCGTTCTGCCACCAGGGCTCCATTTTATAAATAGGAAGGGAATATTATTAAGCCTCAGTAATCCCCTTGTTTACTATGGTGGGCACATTTCTCTGGAACCAGCAGAATCTTTGGGGTTCTCATGGCAAGAGAAGGAAGAGTTACTAAGCTGTAGGTGAAATCTGGGTGGGACAGCAAAGCTCAGTAAGTTCTTGGCTACAGTCCTTCAATGTGGAACTCAACCCTGGAATTTGGAAAGGGCCTAGAGTGCCCTGTGTCTCCAAGGCTGAGCCAAGATGGGGGACCTGAGCCCAATTGTCTTTGCCCCCTGGTCTCCTGCAGGGCAGCCGGATGGGTGTGGAAGCAGTGATGGCTCTTTTAGAGGGGACTCCAGACACCCCAGCCTGTGTGGTGAGCCTCTCTGGTAACCAGGCCGTGCGCCTGCCCCTCATGGAGTGTGTCCAGATGGTAAGTACTGATTCCACCTCGTTCCTCACAGCCCAAAGGCCCTGCCTCTAAACTGGAGCTCTTGGGGCATGAGACCAGCTTCTAAGGCCACTGAGACAGGAGCAGATGGGAAGGCAGCGTGGTTTGTAAGACACATATGGGGAAAGAACACAGTGGGCTTTGCATGAGAGCCGTAACCTCTTAGCCTGTCTCCTCATCTGTAAAATGTTTCTAAAGAAGATGGGAGACTCTACATTCTCCCTAATAGTGAGACTCAACATCTCTTAATATCCAATCTCCCACCCTCGGTTTTAACCTTCTTATGTCTTTATTAGAAGAGAAATATAATATCCCTCCTAACTTTATTAAAAGCAGGGGAGTATTATTAAGATCTGGTTGGGCAGTATCTGTCTCTCCATGATTTCTACATTGAACATGTTTCTGTGAACCAAAATAAGGTTACTAATACTCACCTTGAGGTTATTCTAAGGATTGGAGAGAATACATATATAGAGGCGCTGATGCGGTACTTAGAAAATGTTGAGTGCTCAGGAAGTGGTGGCTATTGTTATAGAATAATCACTCCTTTGATGCCACAGAGTGAACATGTGGCTGGGAGCCAGTGTGTCTGGCCTGATTCTCAGCTGGTCTGAGTGCTCCCCTCACTCTCTCTCAGAGACTCGAGAGTCCCAACGGCCTACGGCCAAGACAACCTCCAGCTTATGCTTGGAAATGTATCTCAGAGGCCTCAAAGCTAAAGCACTGACTCAGCAGAGATCAGTGCTTGGGAATCTCATCTCCAGGATCAGCCTTCCTTCTTCACTGGCTTATCCGCAGGGTCTTCTTCATTTTCTCATTACTTTAGAGGCCCCTTTGAGGCTGGAGACCTGGGTGTGAAATAGAGGAAGCTGCTATACACCTGTGAGCCCTCCTCCACCCTGCCCGTAACTCTAATAGCCTTGAGTCAGCCCTTTGCTTTTGCTGCTTGTTACTTAGAAAATTAAGGAAAAGCAAGATGCTTGGCCTCCTGTGACAGTGTGGGACATAGGAAAGGTGAGGGCAGGATGGGCAGGCTCCAGCCAAGCCCAAAGAGGCACCGAGTCTGACCCCGGGATGGGAATCCAGCTGTGCAGAGCCCTGCCCTGGAGTCATGACGGGTGCTGTCTTCCTCCCGCAGACCAAGGACGTGACCAGGGCCATGAATGAGAAGAAATTTGATGAAGCCTTAAAGCTGAGAGGCCGGTGAGGAAATCACTGGGAAGCTCGCTAGCTACAGAAATCAAATGCCAGAATGAAGCCAAAAAGCAATAGATCTCCTTGGGGTTCTACTTTTGCAAGAAGAGGAAGAGTTACCTAGACCCAAAATAGGAGCTTCTGCTCCTTCCTCTTATTGTCTCTGCAACAGTTTCTTCCTCAAAAAAATTAGCTGTGAGGTGACCAGGAGGCTCAGTGCTTCTCAGGCATGATGTCCCAGGAATCAGCCTGTTATAATCTGTTATTTCTATATGAGAACCCCAGCTAGAGAAGTTTCTCTAGGCAAGGGACAGTCTCTTGTGCTGAGTACAATGTCTGGGAGGAGAGTGCTTAGGGGGGGTTGGTGATTTAGTGGCCCCTGTGCAGCCCCAGTTAGGCCCTGACAGGTTTGCTCTATGGAACTTCAAGCTGGGAGCTGCTGGCGGTGGGGAACGGCCTAAAGACACTTCTTTCTCTACTCTTTCTTTACAGGAGCTTCATGAACAACTGGGAGGTATACAAGCTTCTGGCTCACATCAGGCCTCCCATGTCTAAGGTACTGGCAACTTGCCCTATCCCCTGGCACTTCCCTTCCTCATCTCCTTTGGTGAAGTGTTTCCCCCAATCCATGCAAACTACAGCCTTGCCATCTTCTTTGCCGCATAATAATCTTCAATGCTGAATCCCTGACCTGACTAAGATAATTTTTTTCTTGGCCATCCCAGATACCAGCCCCACGTTGTTAGTGTGCCATGGAAGTGTCTAACACAAGACCCATGTCCAATTCAGGGCTGGTGAGGCAAGATAGCATGTAAGGAATGGGAGAGAGGGCTTATGTATTTTTTCCTCTGGGAAAATCTGGGAGTAATCACATTTGAGTGTATCTACGCCACCTCTTCCAGTGGCTTAGCAGCTCTCACTATTTAGTGTATATCAGAATCATCTGGGATCATTTTCCTTCTGCCTGAGGAACTCCCTTTTGTATAGTTTTTAGTATGAATCTGCTGGCAATAAATTCTATCTGCACTTGTTTGTCTAAATATACCTTGATTTTTCCTTCATTTTTTGCAACAGATCTCTTCTTGGTTGTTCATTAAATATGCAGATTCCTGGCCCCCTCCTTCAGAGATTATGATTCAGATCTGGGGCCAGGAATCTGCTGGTTTAATAAGCTCCCCAGATGGATTCTGATGGAAGTGGTCCAAGGATCACGCTTTGGGAAACACCAGTCTGGGAAGTCTTGTATTCATTATATGATGATGATGTCTGGGATCAGGGACAGCAGCTTTATTTATTGATTTGTGCTAAAGAATTTTGCTTCCACAGTAAGAGGTTGCAAGTGATGCTCGTGTTTCCTGGGAGAGGGGTGTGTGTTGTCCAAGGCAGATATCCTGATCCCAGGACAATAGGGAACTCGGAGTTCTGCCTCCCTTACTCCCCCACTGGAGTTTCTGCCCCTCTCTTTCCCCTGCTCCCTGTTTCCTGCCTTCCAGGCTTTTTCACACACCATTGCAGTGATGAACGTGGGGGCCCCGGCTGCGGGCATGAATGCCGCTGTCCGCTCCACTGTGAGAATTGGCCTCATCCAGGGCAACCGTGTGCTGGTCGTGCATGATGGCTTTGAGGGCCTGGCCAAGGGTCAGGTATGGAGAATACAAGGGGAGGAGGGCACATGTTCTGGGGCCACAGAGCAGTCATAGGAGCATGTGTGTAGCAGGGGTGACCTGTCTATTCTTTTCCTTTCCCCTGTCCTTCACTACCTCTCCTTTCTCGGGGTTCAGGTAGTAGTAGATATTTAATTTTAGGGCAGTAGGAATAGGCAGAAGCTCTGGATGAATGAACCCTTGGAGTGCAAACAAAGCTCTTTCTCAGCTTAGCACAGCACCTGGCAGAAGTAGGTGCCTAATATTTGTGGATGAGTGTAAGGGTGGGAAAAGTTTGATGAGGTGGGGAAAAGCAGATACCTGGGGTCATTCTCCCACCCAGGTGGGAGTTAAGGGGTAGGGTCAGAATCCAAAAGTGGCGTCAGTCCCACACAGGCCTCCTGGTGCTTTGGCCGTGAGGGAGACCTGGGTCACCTTTCCCTGCAGATTGAGGAAGCTGGCTGGAGCTATGTTGGGGGCTGGACTGGGCAAGGTGGTTCTAAACTTGGGACCAAAAGGTAAGTGACATTATAGAGGGCCTCCTCCCTATCACCCCTTAAAGGTGTCCCTTGGAATATAGGCATCAGCTCGTTAGGTCAGCGTCTGCTTCTATCATCGCTGTTGTCTGAGCCCTCTACCCCCAGGCCCACAGTTGCTTGATCTAGAGCAGACATGCCCATCCAAACATCTTTTAGCATCTCTGGCAACTTAAAGCCCTGGTGTATCCTTGGACAGGAGTGAGAAGAAAGGGAGCACAAGTCAAGAAATGATAAACAAAGCACCTTCTAACTCTAGCTTTTGTCTCCCTCAATTTTGCCATCTCCTCCCCTAATTCCATATCCCCCACCCCCTGCCCACCGCCTGCTGAACCAGGACTCTACCCAAGAAGAGCTTCGAAAAGATCAGTGCCAACATAACAAAGTTTAACATTCATGGCCTAGTCATCATCGGGGGCTTTGAGGTGAGTGCCCACCACTCCTTCCTCTCTCTCCCCCACCTTCCCTTCTCTCTCTAGTCAGTGTCTCTCTGCTCTCTTCCTCTTCTCAGGCTTACACTGGGGGCCTGGAGCTGATGGAGGGCAGGAAGCAGTATGACGAGCTCTGCATCCCGTTTGTGGTCATTCCTGCTACAGTCTCTAACAACGTCCCTGGCTCAGACTTCACTGTTGGGGCCGACACAGCACTCAATACTATTTGCATGGTGAGAGCCCACCACCATTTCCCCTCCCCTTTGCCCAGGACTATAATCCCAGGCCTGAGTTTGGTGGGCTACTTTTTTTGTACTAACTAAGTAGCGACGTTTGAAAAATGCTTCTTAAGTCCAGGCATGTATTCAGACTATTTAACCACACATGTGGTATTCATTCTCCTTAGCTTGTGAGTCCTCTAACCTAGAAGTGCACTGGTACTCTGCATACCAAATGTTTTTTTTTTTTCCTTCTTGAGATCATATAACCTAATTCCCTACTGTGAGCAACAGAAAGGTTAGGTACAACTTCCTTCCCAGAAGAGATGTTCCTCAGTGGGTTGGGAAACATGCCTTCTGGCCTTGAGTGCAAGAACTTGGTAAGGTTTAGGGTCCCTACCAGGCTGGGGACAATATAGTTCAGAGTTGGGTTAATGGCAAGGGCCAGAGAAGTGACAAGAATTTGACCCCTACCCCATCTATCTAACTCTGACTCACTGTCTTTGCAGACCTGTGATCGCATTAAGCAGTCAGCAGCAGGCACCAAGCGGCGGGTGTTTATCATTGAGACGATGGGTGGCTACTGTGGCTACCTCGCCACCATGGCAGGATTGGCAGCTGGGGCCGATGCAGCCTACATTTTTGAGGATCCCTTCACCATTCGAGACCTGCAGGTAGAGGGCCACCCAGAGCCTGCTAGCTGGCCCGGTCGTTGCTCACTGTACCCACACTGGCCTGGGCTGGGAGAGCTCCAGATGAGGACAGAGCTGACTATCTGTAGGGTCCTGTGAGGAGACTCGAAAAAGTACCACGCAGGCCTTCTCCTGTGTGCCCTCGCATACATAACCGGAGCTGCTGCTGTTTGAGTGCTCTTTTTGAGTCAGGCGGCGTGCTGCTAAGCCCTTTATGTGCATTTTATCTTTGCAACAGACGTGCAAGGGAGATATTATCACCATTTTACAGATGAAGATAGTTTAGAGAGGTTAAAAAGCTTCTCTGTACTCCTAAGTCCGTAGGTGATGTAACTGATTGAGAGCCTGTGATCTTTCTACTCTGTCATGCCACCCCTCCTGATTTCCCTAGCTAAAAAAGCTACATTCTTCTCATCCCGTTTTCTTTTAATTAATATTTTATTATATTTTCGTGAAAGTGTACACAGCAAAACAGGTTTCCATTCAACAATTTCTACACATATTGTTCAGTGACATTGCTTACATTCTTTTTTTTCTTTCCTGTTATTGCACAGGGTTTATTTGTTTTACAAAAGTAGAATAACTATAACAACAGCAACACTAATCTACCATGGCTGACGTGGTCAGTGTTTCATCCGTATCACCTGGGATCTTGGTATCTTTTTTTTTTTTTATTTAAATTTTGTTGTTGTTGAGAATATATATAGCTAAATATACACCAGTTCGATCATTTCTACATGTACAGTTAAGTGACATTGATTATCATTCCATTTTTGAGGGAGATATCCTTTTACCTCAGGGGTGGGGCTCTGACTTATTTCACAGAAGGACCACAGGATCCTTATTTTCCAAGATCCCGGTTCTCTGGAGGAGGAAGGAGCCACAAAGTGTTGGGGCAGCAGGCTGAGGGAACTTCCTAATCTGAGAATCCAGCCAGCCCCTGCCAGCAACGGAGGGTGGGAGTCTGTCTCCTTCACCCCTAACTCAAAGCCCAAATGATGAGAAGGAACATATTCTACCAGATGAATCACTGCTTTGCATGCAGGCAACTCATTGAAAGGCTTCCACTGTGAACAGTCAGTTCTCTGAGGGAAGGGGAGAAAGCCCTGGAAAAGGAGGTTGGAGAGGGAGTGGCTAGGGCGTGACGACTGACAACAGTTACCATGATGGTCTCTGACTTTCCCTCTTCCAATTCTGCCTGTCTTATTTGGAGTCTTGGTTTTATACTGAACTTCTTAAAGGGATTAAGCAGAGCTCAGGCCCAGGATTGTAAACAGCTCCCTTCCACACCCTGCTCCCCTCCTGGAGAGGCCTGATGTGGAAGAGAGATTTATGCCTTTGCCTGCCCTTTTCTACCCCCCAGGTAGACTTAGGATTTGCTGTTTCATTTTCAGGCCAATGTTGAGCATCTGGTGCAAAAGATGAAAACAACTGTGAAAAGGGGCCTGGTGTTAAGGTACGTCATCTATTGTTTGTTCCTAAGGGAAGAAAATAAAAATCAGACCTTGGCCCAAACCTATAGAATGGATCGTGGCTGGGACACCCCGAGGAATCTGTAGATGCAAAGGGAGGGGGCAGCCTATCCCTTGGGCCCCACAAGAGACAGAAAAGGGAAGAACAAAGAGCCACAAAGACTGAGGGGAGCGGAGAGATGGGGAGATAACTGAAGTGACGGGCTTTTTGTCTGTACTTGGCAGGAATGAGAAGTGCAATGAGAACTATACCACTGACTTCATCTTCAACCTGTACTCTGAAGAGGGAAAGGGCATCTTCGATAGCAGGAAGAATGTGCTTGGCCACATGCAGCAGGTAGGGAGACGTACCTGGTCATGCCCTTCTCTAGGCGACCATAGCCCTGAGCAGCCATCGAGGTGCCTGCTGGCCTTCTCTAGTTTGCTGGAGGCTGTCATGGCCGCCACGGAGAACGGGCCTACAATCTCTCGGCACCATAGAATCAAAACATCTTTATCCTAGAAATGAGATGATGTGGTCCATCTTCTTCAGTGAGGGCAGAGTTTCTCAACCTCAGCACTGTTGATATTTGAGGCTGGGTAGTTCTTTGTTGGCGGAAGCTGTCTTGTGCATTGTAGGTTAGTTTAGCAGCACCCCTGGAATCTACTACCCACTAGATGCCAGTAGCACCCTCCCCCAGTTGAAACAAAAATGTCTCCAGGCATTGTCACACGTTCCCTGGCGGACAAGACTGTCTCCAGTTTAGAACCACTGATTTAGATGTTGAAAAATGAGTCCTATAGAGGAGAAATAATTTTTCCAGGGTCACTGGTCAAGTCAGGGCCAGAATAAGGCTAGTGCATTGCTCTTTCAGCCGCACCATGCTTTCGTAAGAAACTTACCGAATGAGTACAGGTACCTTTCTGGTGTTGAGCTCCATCTCACAAACTGGAATTCTTTCCTATCACTCATTTTCAATCCCTACCCAAGGTAGGCCTCACTCATAGGTGGCACTAGTGGTGTGAGGCCCTCCCCCAGCTGATACCTCTTAAGCACGGACCTTTCCCTACCCCCAAATGAATTCCCAATGTCTCAGTTTGAACGAGCTTATCAGATATTTTCTAATTAAAAAATTGTGAGAGGTCACAGGTACCTCTCATTGTTGAATGGGAGAAGAAGGGAAACAGGAGAGGAGGCCCTGCAGGAATAGGGTATTATTGGATAAGGTATGAATACCTATTTCCTAGTTTTCTTTCCCTCCTACATTTTCTGATTCAAAGAAAATCTGTAGAAATGGTTAAGCACTTGACTACTAACCGAAAGGTTGGCAATTTGAGCTCACCCAGAGGTGCCTCAGAAGACAGGCCTGGCGATCTGCTTCAGAAAGGTCACCGCCTTGAAAACCCTGTGGAGCATTTCTACTCTGCACCCATGGGGTCACAGTGAGTTGGAATTGCCTTGACAGCAACTAACTACAACAACCAAGCTCAGCCAGACTGGGCCACAAGGAACGCTTCTGTGTCATCAATGATGGTGATGGACAAAAGCTGCTAGGCTAAAGAGGGCAGGGAATTGGCTAGTGGCCAATAAGACAAAAAGAGAATGAACAAGATTTGGCAGCTATAGAGCTAGGAGAGGAAACTGTGGGAGCCATCACCTGCTTTATCTTAACTAATTACTCTTACTACCACATAAATGGTCACATGCGCTGGGCCCGCTCACCTTGGCTCCAGTACCACGTCAGTGACCCTTTCACACTTACAGACTTCTGGATTCCTGCTTCCGGCTATAAACCTAGCCTCACTCTTTCTTTTTTCTCTGTGTATCTCTGCTGCCACTTCATTAGAGTTCTTCCCCCTGTAACTTTTACGGTTCTTTTTCCAGGGTGGGAGCCCAACTCCGTTTGACAGGAATTTTGCCACTAAGATGGGAGCCAAGGCTATGAACTGGATTTCTGGGAAAATCAAAGAGAGTTATCGTAATGGTAGGTGGAGGGAGAGGGGGAGCCCCCCATAGAAGCTGGCTCCCCAATATAGAAGCTGATGGGTCATCCCCTTCTTGCAGGGCGGGTCTTTGCCAACAGTCCAGACTCAGGCTGTGTTCTGGGAATGCGTAAGAGGGCCCTGGTCTTTCAACCAGTGACTGAGCTGCAGGACCAAACGGATTTTGAGTGAGTACATCTACTTCCTACAGAGGTTCCCTCCCTGATTGTTTCAAGGTCTGCTCTCCTCAACCTCTTCACTATCTTCAGTTCTTTTCTCTTAGGAGTAACACCTGTTGTCTAACCCACTTCAGTTCTGATGCCCTTACCCTAAATGAGTCACTTCTGCCCAACTTTTCCCATAAGCCGTTGGTAGAAGATGATTGGGGTGCTAAAGATTATATCATCATCCTGCCCTCATACCTCTGTAGGCATCGCATCCCCAAGGAACAGTGGTGGCTGAAGCTGAGGCCCATCCTGAAAATCTTAGCCAAGTATGAGATTGACTTGGACACCTCAGATCACGCCCACCTGGAGCATATCAGTCAAAAGCGGTCTGGGGAAACACCCGTCTAAACCTCTTTGAAGTGAAGGGAGTGGATTATCTGATCATGGTCAGCGCACCCCTTGGTAGCTCCAAGTCCACATATTCTCCGTGAATGTAGCTCATTTTTTATTAAGTTTCCTTTCATTCTGTAACTTCAGCCATGATCAGCTCTGGCCAGGAGCAGGGGCAGTGGGTGGTGAGTGGAAGTTCCCTTTAGGTAGAATTTCTCATGACTTCTACCCCAACTTCAAGTGTCATGTAAGACTGAGCTCTGGTGTCACTGCGAGATTTCAGTTACTCACAAGTTTCCTAAAAATAAGCTTTATTTATTTCTTTGTTTGTGATAATAAAGAGTCTTGGTTCCTTACTACTTTTACTACAGTGACAAGCTGTAGCTACACTAATAAATGCCAACTCGTTAACTGTGCTTTTGGTTCTCTTAAGTTATCATTTTCACAAGTAAGATGCGATACCACCAGCCCCTTGCACCAGCCTGTGCCCGGACAGAATACGTGGGAAAATGCAGTTCATTGATCACCTCGTGTACTTCTCTCTACCTCTCAGATTATTTTTCTGCAGCATCTCTTGGCTCTTTATAGAGTCCCAGCACACAGTACACTGGTCCTCATCCTCATCCTGCACTAGTCCCTCCTACATCACTCACAGCCAGGAGGACTTTCCAGTCTCTCTTAAGCATAAAGTCGTGTATCACCTCATGACCATATAGCTGCTACCCAGGGTTGCTTTTTTCCAGCCATCCCAAGATCTCTGTTCCTTCTCTACCAACCCAGGGTGCTTCCTTCTCAACTTTTCCCCTGTACTCCTACCTAGATGAAAGTCAGACTCCATTTGACAGAACCTGTGTAGGGAAAGAGAGACGTTTTGAAAGTCTGGAAAGTAGCAACACCTAGCCCTGGATCTGGTTTGGTGCGTTGGGTGGAATATTACTTGGGAAAGATGCCAGTTCTTACTCAGCTGCCACTAGTCTTCTGTTTCATTAACAGCTACTTCTTCCTCCTCATGACTGAAGTGATTATTATAATACAGGTGTTCCTAGGAATCAGGACCATAGATTTGACAGGACCCTGAACTGACTGGATGGCGCCCTGTTTTAATGTTCAGCTTAACCTCCAATACCCAGATCCTGGCTCTCAGCACAGGCACACACATTCGTCCCAGTGCAGTTTCCTTATTTGCCTGATGAAGCAGAAAGGAGGTTCAAGAAATTACAAGGGATAGGAAAACCAAAAACCAAACCCGTTGCCGTTAAGTCAATTCTGACTCATAGCCACGCTATAGGACAGAGCAGAACTGCCTCTAGGGATTCCAAAGCTATAATCTTTAGGAAGCCGACTGCCACATCTTTCTCCCATGGAGCACGCTGGTGAGTTCAAACTGCCAGCCTTTCGGTTAGCAGCTGAACGCTTAACCAACCACTGAGACACCAGGGCTCCTCATAAGGGGCAGAGGAAGGGATTATCCCAGCCCACCACTTTTGCTGGCTGCCCAAAGTATGCATATTACTGCCCTACCCTAAAAACAGTTCTGAATAGTGACTGAGAAGGCTTATTGTCAGATTCGGTAATTAAAGCAGCCAAATGCTCTTTGAACGATTCTTTAAGGGGAAGAGGAATTAAGAATAAATATCAAGCACTGTGTTAGGCATTTTACATGTTATCACCGAATTCTCAAAACAGCTTCATGAGGAGGAGGGTGACAGCCCCATTTCAGAGATGAGAACACTGGGGTTTAGGGTGGCTAAATAATATGTGCTAGGTCTTACAGTCTTTACCAGAGCTGGGACTCACTCAGTTCTGACTTCATTTCCCCTGCCTCTCCTCCTTACTATGCTACATCAAATTCAAAACTACAAGGGCTATGAAAACAAAGTGAAAGGGAAAGTTTAGGCATTTCTCCAGATCTGGGACATAACATTTAAGTGCTATCTGCTATTAATTTATAGGTTCTCGTTCCCATCTTTACTCCTAGAGCTGTATGTTTAAGAAAATGATGGTGAGGGAAGGGATGGCTGGGTGGAATGCTAATCACAAAGGAAAAACATCACTTTGTAAAGAGTAAGAAATTTATGATCATACTACAATCAGGAAAAAAAAAAGTGAAGACATCACGAAAACAAGAACCTACCAAGGAGAATGCCATTTCCTCAGAGTGAAAAAGATACATGAAATTGTTTAAACTCTTAAGTGGAGGTGAAACAGAATTTATCAGCCACAAACTGCATGGGTGATTAATGAGAAAAGAGTCTCTTCCCACGTGGACAAAATATTTTCCTCTCCAGAACATTAATAGTGTCTATGATGAGAAATGAGATAGCACCTTAACAGTGGTTCTCAAACCTAGTCTGAATATTAGAATCACCTGGGGTGCCTTTGGACACACACTCTCTCTCCCCCCCCACCCCCACCCCGGTGGCATAGCATTTAAGAGCTACAGCTGCTAACCAAAAGGTGAGCAGTTCAAATCCACCAGCTGCTCCTTGGAAACCCTATGGGGCAGTTCTACTCTGTCCTATAGGATCGCTATGAGTCATAATCGACTCGAAGGCAAGGGGTTTTGGGGTGCCTTTAAAAATCCTCATACCCAGGCCCACTTCAGACCAATTAAATCCATCTCTGGAGGTAGGGCTTGTGCCTTAGTATTTTAAAAAGTGCCCTACCTGTTACCTGTTGCCCTCAAGTTGATTCCAACTTATAGTGACCCTATAGGACAGAGTAGAACTGCCCCATAGGGTTTCCAAAGAGCAACTGGTGGATTATGAACTGCCGGGCTTTTGGTCAGCAACCAAGCTCTTAATCACTGTGCCACCAGGGCCTGGCCTAATAAACAGCTAAGTTTGAGAACCACTGACTAATGCAACGGTTCTCCTGGCTAGGCTACAGAGTAGAAGCATCTGGAAATTTTAAAAACCCACCCATGCACCCAAGCCAATCCTAAGAGATTCTGAGACAATTGGCAGGGGAGGAAGTCTTGGTGTTAGTGTTTGTAAAAAGCACGCTTGGTGATTTAATGTGCAGCTGGGGTTGAAAACATAAAAGTAATTCCAAATTGGAGGTGGGGGAAAAAGGAAAGGGAACCTTCTTTACTCTGTCCAAGCCTTTCAGTTCACTCCACCAACGCCCTGAATCACTTGCTAACTGATGAAATGGGTGAAGTTGGGATGGGATGGAAAGCTGCATTGAAGACTGAGGCAGGAATGGAGAAAGTTTGGAGGGGGAAGGGGAGGATCCAGGAAAAAGCAGAAACAGTAGAAATTGCCAAATTTGGTTTTAGAACTATTTATTTCTTCTTTTTTTAAGTGGGCAAAAAACACCAACACCAAAAGGACAAAACCAGACATACTTTTTGAAATTAGCTGTGTCAAGAGATTCCATTCATTTTGCTTGTAGTTCCCAATCAGCTTTAAAAAAAAAAAAAAAAAAGTTCTTCAAATTTGCATACAGGTCATCTTAGATCAATAACAACTTGATCTAGTTTACGAACACGGAAGAGTATTATAACTAAGTATTATTGACTAAAACATATTTTTTGGGTAGATGGGTTGTTTCAAAAGAAGCTCTTATAACTCTTCCCCTACTCCTTCCCCAATCCCCCTCCCTAGTCTTGTATAGATAAATAAAAAGCAAAGTTTCCAAAACAAATGAAAGAAAAATAATTCCAACCTCCTAGCAGAGTGAGCTTTCCATAGGGAATGAAGAAGACCGTTAGGAAAAGGCAGCCCAGCCCATAATTTCTCTCCTGCTAGAGCAAACACTTTATTCTAAGGTGCAAGAAATGCCTGCTAATCCCATTAGAGCAAACTAGCTTTGAGGAAGAAAAAGAGCTACATTAGAAGAAAACGAGAGTTCTTAGGATTGCTTAGAATCTATCTTTTCTAATGGGGGAAAGCAGCCAAGACAATCCTTCTAAAATAACGTTGCTGAACTACTGTAACCCTTGGGCACACCCATGAAAAAGAGGCAAAGACTGCTATCTCCTCTGGTGGGGGGGGCAGTCCCTTCTGAATGCCCCATGATGTGGCACTCCAGGGATGTCGTCAAGCCCGACGCCGAATCAGCGTACCATTTGAGACTGCAGTGTCTTCATCTTTGGGTCATAATTGTTGTTTGCTGGAATTGTGATTCTCTTAAATTTCTTCACAGAATAATTAATATGATTCTAGAGGGATTCTTCTAGAGGGTTAATCATGTCCCCAAGGAAAATCAAACATATTCTTTAAATATTTTTCATCTTCCTACAGAAATTCAGTTGCACTGTTGACTCTTTCCCTAAAGGGGTAAGTGGGGGAGACCTCTCTTTTGCAGAGTGCAATATAGAAAGCTAAGTAAGCAATAAACAGAAAACAAAAGTGAGGGATTTTGTTGTTGTTGTTGTTTTGTTTGGTTGGTTGGTTTGGAGAGGGGAGGTGGTATGGAGGTTATTATTGTGACATGTTGCCTCAAAATCTATAAACCACACAGCAAGAACTGCTTTTCTGGTTTTCCATGCCAAAGAGACAGTACTGCAGGGGAAAACCTTGCCCAGAGTTGCCTACATGGTGGTACAAGCATCTTCTCCATGTTATTCTACAAGTAACAGATATTCCTTCAAAGAAGCTGGCAGTGGAAGGCCCTTCACTGCATCTGGCAGATACTGGAGTCCCAGGCTACGGCGCACAGCATAGCGAGAGAGTGTTTTTAGAGTTCCTGGGGCTGAGCACAGAACAGTCAGTTTTTCACACAGCTGCTGGTCTCTGGCCACTTCTCGTGGCATTGTGCCATTTTTCCTTAATTCAAAGTGTCCAACAGCTCTATGGAGGAGCTCGAAGCAAGAGTCCTCTTTCTCTGTTCCAAGTCCCCTGACTAGCAGAGCCACCAGGCGGGAGATGGGTGTTTGGCCTTTGAGGTTGGTGACCCTGACCTCTGCACCGTAATCAAGAAGAATGCTGACACTCTCAAGATTTCCCTTCATGGCAGCCCAGCTGAGAGGTGTATCATTGTTGTAATCCAGGGCATTGACAGAGGCTCCACTCTCTAGGAGAGCACGTACGCACTCAGCATTGTTCTTAAAGGCTGCCCAGTGAAGTGGGGTATCTCTGTTGCCATCCAGTGCATTGGGGTTTGCACCATACTCCAACAGGACCTCCACACAAGCCTCATCTTTCTCAGCTGCATAGTGGAGGGCTGTTCGGTTGTAACCATCCAGGGCATTTACCTGTAAAGAGGGAGAACTATTACAGTAGATAGACACTGGGAGGGAGATAGGGCAGCAAAGAAGCTGGCATGTATTTACCCACTACCTTTCTTATATAGTATTCTGAACAGGAGGGTCAACAAGTGAGTCCCAGGGAGTCTTGATCAAGACAGAGATACGATAGGAGCTTAGGAGCAAATAGGAAAAGAGCTGTCCCAAAACAATCAACACTCTATTACCGGCATTGATTAGCTGGCCTGCATTATTTAGGATTTTGCTGCTACATTATTTCTCTTATTTAGTGTTCATTAGAATTTCTACTATAGGTCAAGAGATAGAGAATGAGAAGATGAAGTCCTTGTAACACTCTAAAAGGCATTTATCGTACAGCAGCTTGAATGTACTAACCAGAGTAAAGGTTTTGGGTTATTTTACTTATCCTCTCTCTATCCTGTGGCTAATGGCAACCAGGCTAAAAAGTAATGAGGCCAAAGCTGCCCATGTAGCTTCGCTGTGCTCTTTAGCCATACTGAGAAGCTCCAATTGTTAAGCTAAGTCACTCCCTTGGCAGAATACGCTGTGGGTTCACAAGAGAACCTGGATAAAAGCATGTGGAGGGAATAGCACAAATCTTCCAGTACTAGGAAAGCAGCTGGCTTGCTGAGAGTTGGCATCACCTGTAATTTCTGTTGTTAGTTGCCATGGAGTTGGCTTTCGACTCGTGGTGACCCCATGCACAATGGAATGAAATGCTACCCATGCCATCCCCATGAACAGTGGGGATGGGACAGCTGGGATCCACATAGTTCTCATTGGCTGCCTTTTCAGAAGTAGACTGCCAGGCCTTTCTTCCTAGTCTGTCTTAGTCTGGAGGCTCCACTGAAATCTGTTCAGCATCATAACAACACAAGCTTCCAGTGACAGACAGGTGGTGGCTGTCCACGAGGTGCATTGGCTGGGAATCAAACCAGGTCTCCCACATGGAAGGTAAGAATTCTACCACTGAATCACCAGTGTCTCATGCCTAAAATTTTTGAAGGCTACAGCCAAAGATTTCAAATCCTCAAACTAATAAATACTGTATTATCTTCCCCCATAAAATACACTAAAGCAAAACCAAAACATTTGAGTTCAACCTTCTATTTGGCTAAAAACCGCTGTTTTCCTTTTATTGTTGGCATTAATCACTGGCTTTCATTTCAGTGTCACTCACAAAGAAAGAGTTTTTAATCACAAAAGTTACCGAACAGATAACAACAAGTAGAGAACAGCATGGCTGTGTGGAGATGAGAAAGCCAGGTGGCTGGTCCCCTTAGGCCTACCGACCAGTGTGTTTGGGGGCCTGCACACCAGCTTCATGACATGTATGATTCAAATTAGTGCCTCAATAAATAAGCCTTTAAGATTACTCACAAATAGTCAAAACTGCTATTTTATTTATTTAATAAGCACTTTTGGAGCCCTGGTAGCACAGTGGTTAAAAGCTCAGCTGCTAACCAAAAGGTTGGCAGTTTGAATCCACCAGGTGCTCCTTGGAAACCCTGTGGAGCAGTTCTACTCTGTCCTAGAGGGTTGCTATGAGTCGGAATCGACTTGACAGCAACGGGTTTGCATGTCAGTGTTCCAAACACTTTACAACCTTATGCAGAAGGTACCATTATCACTCTCATTTTACAGATGGGGAAACTGAAGCAAAGAAAGGTTTTTAAGTAACTTGTTCAAGGTCACACAGCTAGAAGTGGCAGAGCTGGAATTTCAACCCATGAAGTCTGGCTCCAGAGTCTTCTTTTAACCATTCATTATGCTATGATGCTTCTTGCTAATGCCAAGGGTCTACTTTCAAAAAATTAACCCACGCTTCTATCTTGAGATACATTAGAAAGAAGACAGGAACAAGATATATTACAACAGAAAATAATTCATGGGCAGAAATAGTGTCTAAGTGCCCTAATTCTGAGGAAGGGATTGCCTAATGATATTTATCCCCCAGTGATAGTGGTATTAGGAATGCACGCCTGATAAAACAATAAAAAAAAGCTCAAACCAGTTGCCATTGAGTTGGTTTCGATTCATGGAGACCCCATATGTGTAGAGTAGAACTGCCCTCCATAGGGTCTTCAAGGCTGTGACCTTTCAGAGGCAGATCGCTGGGCCTTTTTCCAAGACACCTCTGGGTAAGTTCAAACCACCAACCTTTCGGTTAGTAGTTGAGTGCTTAACCAATCGTGCCAGCTAGGGACATCAAGCCAGCTGCCATCATGTCGATTCCAACTCATGGTGCCTCCACGTGTGTCAGAGTAAAATTGGACTTTTCAATGGCTGATGTTTTGGAAATAGATCACCAGGACTTTCTTCTGAGGTGCCTCTGGGTAGACTCGAACTACCAACCTTTCGGTTAGCAGCTGAGCATGTTAACCGTTTGTACCACCCAAGGACTCCTACACATCTGATAGTTGGTCTCAAATGGTTTAGATTTAATCAGAGTTGAAAGCCTCTACACTTACAGCCCCTGGACAGTCAACAGGGCATGAGAGGACTAACTGGAAATGTAAACAACTGCCAGAGAGTGAGCTGGAAGGGAAAAGAGAAAACTCCTTCCTGGAGTCAGGAATGCTTAAAGAGAAGAAGAAAGACAAAGGAATGAAATCCTTAGGATCATTTTACATTTTACTTTAATATTGGTTATACTCAATGTTACCATGAGCTAGAAGGTGAAACTGGGGGTGGGTAGAGATGGGAGGAGAGACAGGGAGAGATTCTAAGAAAATATGAAGTTCAAGTTTTAGTGAATCATTAATGTAAAGATGTTAAAAACATTACCTCGGCTCCTTTTTCCAGGAGTAACTCCACACAGTCAGCATCTGACACCATACAGGCACAGTGCAGGGGCTTCAGTGTGCCATGGGTACAGTTCACATCTGCTCCCTATGGGCAGAAGGAGACTTCAATCAGTGTGTTCAGCTCTAGCTCGCTGAGCACGATGAGATTCAGAACTGAGCCCGGGGAGGGAGACTTCTGGTCCTGACAATACCAAAAACACACCACTGGTTCCCAGTTTCCACTTCTATAAATTAAATAAGGTCATAATGCCAATGTCCAAACCTAGAGAATACACTGGAGATAAACGAGAGGAACTGTCTATTCCTTAGATCATGTTATTAGTTTCTCTGTAGGGAAGCCTGCCATATGGCCATCTGGACACCATTGAGGACCTAACCATACATGTAAAAGCAGTGGGAACATTATCACCGGGCAGGAAAGCTGGACCAGCAATCCACTTTCTCTGGCCCCTGTGCTTTGAAAAAGTCAGGAAATTGGGTCTGACAGACTGAGGCCAGGAGAACCAGGAGGGCTTGCTCTTTTTGCCATCCAACAGGTGACCATCACTAGTAGAAGGGTCACCTTAATGCTGTCTGTCTATTTATCAGTATCTTCAAAGAAGCCTCTTGGTATCAGCATTCTCTGCCACCTAGCTCCTTCTGGTGCATCTATTCCAAATCTGGTAAAGGAGATGGAGATGCTACAGTCAGATCAAAGTCACCAAAGGACTCAGAGCTAGAATTAGAATGTGACGAAGTTTCTACTGCTGAGTCTTCTGATGCCACTTTTGCGAGAATGAACAACTCTGTATGATTCTTCCTTCCCACAGTTGTGCCACATAACTGAAGTAGCTACAAAGGTCCAGGCTATAAATAAGGATCTTAAAGTTGTTAAAAAAGAATGTACAGAAGTAACCATCTGGATGTATTTTCTAGTGATCAAAAAATTACCCTGGTAACTTCTCTTCAACAGGAATAATATACAGAATAGGGGATCAAACACCTAGGACACCAGTCATATAGCAGAATTATGAAATAGCAATGGTTAGATATCAGACAGTTAAGTATTAGGTCATAAATTACCATGCATTTTTCTTTTAGGGAGGGACTATATCATCAACAGGAAGTGGTAGCTTTTGTTAAAATAGAAAGCAAGTGAAATCTCTTCATGTAATTATGACCCAGATATGAAGACAAGCTCTCAAGGAAATTGAAAACCACCTCTGCTTTGCTTGCCTCCTTCCTTCCTTAGTACAACATGTATAGAAGACCTTAAGCTTGCTGGATTTCATATATACCATATCCAGACAGATTTTACAAAGAAAATGAGACCAGGATCATCTAGAATATTTCATGAAGAAAAATACTGGGCACACAAAGTGAAAGGGAGAAGGGAAGAGAAGCAAAACATAGGGAAATAAATTTTAACAAACAAGTTAATACATTTAAGGAGAATATAATAACACCTTGTGATCTTGTGCTGAGTCCAAGCTGCAAATCTATAATTGATTAGGATCCCCCAGGAATTTTCCCACTTTACCTCCCTAAAGACTCTAGTGTCAATAATGGCACACTCACCCCTCTGATGAGGTCCTCTACATTATCATGTGGGAAGGAACGGATGGCAGCGATTGTTCGGATTAAGCGCTCTGAGAGAGAGTATTTGCTCTGAATGCTCTGCATAATATACCACATACTGGAACTCATCAAGGCTCAGAGTGTGTTCACATGCTCCAAACTGCCTGAAACAAAGAAGTTTTAGGCATACACAATATCACTGAGCACACCTGTCCTTACGGCTAGGGTTCTCTGAGGCCTTCCCAATACCAAAGCAGATTTCAAGATCATGATTAATTAATATCATTTTTTTCTTAATCAAAAGGAAATAGATATAGATTATAATACACCTTCTCCTCACTTATCGACTATCTCATTATCCAACATTTTGCAATCATGACAACAGTAAAAAATCTACTATCCTACTATTTTGTGCATTAACGACATACATCTGGCAGTAACAAAGTACCCGAGGTGTAAGGCAGGAGTAACTGCTCTGACGGTTAAGGTTATGTGTCCACTTGGCTGGGCCATGATTCTCAGTGGTTTGGCAGTTATGTAATGGGCAATTATGTAATGATGTAACTTGGCAGTTACATACTGTAATTTGGCAGTCATATAATGATGTAATTTGGCAGTTATGTAATGACATAGTCATCCTCCATTTTGTGATCTGATGTGGTCATCCTCCAATTTTGCGTAACACCAATTTCACATAACAACCTGGTCTTTGGAACCTAACCATGTCAATGAGTGAGGAGGGTCTGTAGTTGCTTAGGGAGCTGGGTATCTGGACAAAAATGTTCTGATCCTCAGGACCTCTGTCTATTCTCTTATCTAGTAGTCTAGACAAGACTTCTCCAAGAGGTCCTAAGATCCCATGGAATGCTATGTGGTTACGCACTGACTAGGCTACACAGGGGATTTTTAAAGGGTAAAGATGCCGCAGATATTATTTTCCTCTTCTGAACTTTTGTGTCTTTATTACTGGCACCACTTTTAGGCTACTTATGATATTTGGCCTTAGAGTACAGTTATTACATAAATACTGTTTCTCCATCTAAACTGTGATTGATTGGAGGGCAAGCACCTTGTATTATACTATTTTCCCCAGCCACAGAGTCTCACAAAAAGTACATATTTAATAAATATTGGTTGGTTGACTGACTAAAGGGTATGGAAGTAATTGTTACCTGTGAAAAGAGAGGGAGAATGCTATGGAACAAATGCATCTATGTTACTACTGACAAAGTATCTACAAAATATTTTCAAATGTCTTCAGCAAAGAAAAAAAAGGGAAACATTTGAAATTTTATGAAATAAGGAAGGAAGCAAAAGTACAACTACTCTGGAGTCATCTATATCAAATTAAAGAAAAAAATCCAAGTTCACACCAATGACATATACTTTCAAGTTTTCGGAAAGCAAATTTAAGAGTGCAAATTGAATTAAACATTTTAATAATTGGTTATTTATGACAACTGAGAAATAGATTTTTGCAAATATATTGAAACCACAACATGACAGAGAATTTTAGGATGGAAGAAGAAAATAATGCCATATACTTAAATTCAACTATGATAAAAATTTTGGCTATGTAAGAGATGCTAGTTGGGAACATTTCTATGAAAAAGTACATATGAAAAACTGTAGAGAAAACAGTGTACAGTATCAACTCTCCAGGTATAACTGTTTAGGAATCTGTGTTCTTACTAAACTATAAGCTTCTTGGAGATAAAGACAGTGTTTATTTCCAATAGTGCCTGGCATATGGCAGGACCTCAGTAAATTATATTTGTATTTTTTGAACCAATACAAAGCTTATTACTTTGAATCCTAATAAATTCAATACCTGCAATAACTAAGCACATTATGTATATGATGATTACTAAGGGAATAATTATTTTGGTTATCTCATAATATGTAGTTTTTGCTTTTTTATAATGGAGTTATCCCTTTATATATTATGGGATAAACTACAAGTTCTAATAGCTTCTGTTTTGCTAGTCGGTAGCCATTTATATGTTTAAAAAATAAACAGTACTAATTAATAGAATGAGAGTGAAAAATATTCAACATATATGTATCGATGATTCAAATTGAGCATCCCCCTCCTACTTCATTATGAATGAAGGAGCTTACATGTTTGTTCTCTACATGAATCTCTGAAATCTTCTAGATATTTTAGATTTGGCATCTGTTTTAATGTCTCCAACAGCTAGAGAGAAGGGTCTACATCCTATACTTCTTTGTAACAAAGAAGAAGGAGAAAACAAAGGCAGAGGCGCATTTGAGTCAGTGATTCCAAGAAAGGGGACATCTAAAACTGAAGGCTTGGACCGAAGAGGGTCTTAACCATATGTGGGTGACAGACACCTTACATAATCTGATGGAACAACCTGCACTCATTCTCGAGGCGCTCCTAGACCCAGACTAGGAACCCCTAACTCACCAATGGTCGTCTGCTGCTGCCCCGAAGCTCCCGGTAGAAGAGTGAAACTTCGGGGCAGATTGACAACATTCCCTGTCAGGAAGAAAGGGTCAAGGAAATCTAAACACGACCTCTCTCCGTGCACCTATGCACGGATTGACCCTTTTGGGCCTCTTCCTCTGCTGGGGCTGAAAGCCCTCTCTCCCCCGTTTTTATTGCGACGCT